TCCTGTAGCTGCAGAAGAAAAGATCTACGGGCATAAATATTATGTGCAGTTTTTGCAAAGAATTGATTAAAAAGGAAGAAATGAGCACCCAAAAGGAAAGTTCTATGATTGCTGTCGTGCACGTGCAGACACGTGCACGATCCACGTGCAGATCCTGGCCCAGGCACTTCTACAGATTTCCCTAAAAAAACATTATTTAGAAGTGCTTTCATAAATGATCCAATGAAAAGATGAATTACAGAATGAAATATAGTTTGCTTAATTTAAGCACATAATTCACTTTTAAACCACGTATCCCCACTGTTCTGCTTGAGGATCTCTCTCTCAAAACTGCCTCAAAAGCTACAAAGACACTTTGATCTGCCCCAATAAGCAGGTTTAGTGTCTCATGTGTAGTGACGTTGGAAAGAATTTGAGCCACACTGTATCTCAAGCAAACAGGTTATGTTCATACTTGGCCTAAGCCTCCTCAGATCTGTGTGGTACCCTTAGGTATAATTGTTATATTTGTTTTTATTTCAGTCTGTCTGAAAAAGTCTGAGGGCTATGTTAAAACACTGCCTGGGCAGATCTTTTGTGGCATGATGCTGCGTGTGTTTTTATGGCATGCAAGTGTTGCTTGCCTTGAGGAAAGCCATGAGATGGGGATGCCTGAGGTAATGCAGTTTGAGGGTTGTTGGAAGGCGTGGAGCTCTCCATACAGGATATGGAGAACTTGGTGAAGTCTTGTCCTTGCCGCCTGTAGAGTGTGATCCCTGAACAGAATGTTATTCTAGAACTGCGCTTTTTTGTACCTCAAAAGGAACTGGCAAGTTTCCTCTGAAATGAAAGCCAGAGAATGAACTATCACACATGGTGTGGGGATGATGAGGGACAGGTTCCAGGAGCCAAGTTATTTGCTGTTGTAGGTGTACCAATAGTATTTTACAGCTGACATTTCACCAATACCGAATCAAGTGGAATCATTAGCCTCAGCATCTTACATATTAACTGCTATTAACATGTCAGAATGTGATTTGCCTTGACTTTCATTGTTGACTTTCATTTTATTTCTTTTCCACTCCAACACCCTGGACCTTTTCCCTTGCCGTTGTGTTTACTCAGCTATTCACAATCTAGTATTGGTGAATGTGATTTCCCCCTCCAGAGTGCAACACTTGACATACATCTTATTGAATTTTATCTTGTAGATTTCAGACCGCCTCTCAAGATTATGATAGTAATTCTGAATCCTGATTCTGGTCCCTAACGCATTTGTATGCCCTGCGCTGTTAATTAGTATCATGCATAGATTTCATACATAATCACAGTCCATTTTGCCATCTAAGTCACTAATAAAAATGTACTTAAAATTCTTATATGTAGAATATAATTCTGTAGCTTATTCATACGCTTATATTTGTCCTACTTCTCTAACCTCTAGTCTAAGAATCTCCAAGAGGCACCTCAGCACTTGCAACAGTATTTAATACTTGCAGTTATATCTAATCTGGTTCACAGAATTTTATTTAAGTTATCAAACTCTAACAACTCTGCTTATGTCCCCAAAGAGGGAAGTCTGTCAGTAAGTCTGTCACTTACTGAGCTCTGCAGTAATGTGAGTCAGCGATTCTATCTCATATTTTGCCTTCCAATTTAGAAAAAGATGACCAAAACTCGGTTAATGTTGTCACATTTTTCTCATGTTCTATTTACAAGCCCTATGCATTTACTTCACTGTATCTGTGGAAATCCGTGGGTTTATAGAAAACTGCCTCTGAAAGTTTTACTGTATCAAGTGACCTACTTTTCACCTTAGCCCATTTGAACATAACAGATATATTTACCAGTTACTGAGGCAGGGAATGTGGTATTGTTTTGTCTAGATCAGCATACTTTAATGGCCAGGCAGTCTATTAAATATCGCTTAAAGACTCTGGATTTAATAAATGATTTCTAATTGACTAGGTGTCAGTGGCAACATTCTAGAAAACTCAGTTACATGGGATTTTTCATTGATTTTCCCTATATTAGAAAATGAAATGTCAGATACCACTAACTGCATTTTCTCAATGAGAAGCATGCTGCAAAAATAGCTGCTAAGTGAAAACACTTCCAGCCTAACACACAACAGAAGTATTCTTTTTAAATTAATCCAATATATAAACATTTATTACAGTTACGTGCCTCTGTTGGCCAAATTGATGTGGATGTAATTACAATCTATAATATGGAACCATTTTGCAGGCTTCTAGGAAAAAAAATACATTTAAGTATATTCTGCAGTCATTTATCCTTATACAGTATACTACCTGCATCCAGCAACATAGAAAGTGGTTAATCCATGGTTTGTAGGAGTTCTTACCTAACAACAGCTTGCACTGACTGTTGTCCATGGGTCAAAAACATAACTGCTAACTTACGTTATCTTGTAACATATAGATGTCTTAGAATATATATAAGTTATAAGATGCTATACACATGCTATACACGTTTACCCAGGCTTTATGTCATTTGTAAGTAGTGAGAGATCCAGAATAAAGTTTATGAGACTGTGACACACATATTTATTGCCATTGGTGGTCCCCAGTTCAAAATACATTGGTGCACCTTTCCTGCTTTCCTGTGTCTGCCTTGGTGTAGCAGGCACTCATGATCACACATGTTTTCTATGCAATATGCAGTTCTACAGATTTGCTTTTACATGATGCATTTATTATGCCAGAATTGACCAGTGGTCTCTATAGTCCTAAGGAGATGATCCTAAGTCTGGATGTGAAAATTTATTTGACTATGCACAATTTACTGTTGTTCTAGAAGTTCTTATGCCTTTGTAGAGAAAGAAAAATCTATGACCTTTCTAAAATATGTGATGAAGCATTCAATTTCCCTGCATCTGATTGATAAGCAACCAGGAAATTATATCTTTTGCCATGGTAGACAAGCATAATTAAGCAATAAGGCAGTGGAGATGGTTGTGATTATCTTAGGATGCACCTGGGAGCTGCCTTGTTGCTATTTTAAAACATCTTTATAGTAAGGGAACTGTATTAATTTCTGCTGAGAAAGATAAAGTTGGCAGTTTGGAATGCTCACAAGCAGCAGTTTCAGTTGTGCTTCTCAGGGAGTAATGTGGTGTCTTAACCACAAACAATTAGGCTTCTCCTTCAGGAGAAGCAAAGATGGAACAGGCTATAAACATTTAATTGACAGTTCCGACAAAAAAAACCCAAACCAAAACAACCAAAACACCTATTATGCTTTGGCTGGCTGCCAGTGAGTGTACAACTTACATTTTTACCAGTTCAGAATAAAAATATGTTGCCCACAACACTTGACTTCCAGGGAAGGCATCACTGCATAATTAATGCTATTGCATCCACATTCTAATTTATGCATTTTAATTATACAAAAGGCCCAGTGAATAATTAATGCTAACAAAACAATAGGTCTGAAGCATAATTTGAAAAGTATCACTTTTTAATGTGCTTTGTAGAAATAAATAGCTAATGAAAGTTATTTAACTATTTGATTGTGAGAATATTTCCCCCTGATACAATCAAGTGTTAACTACCGTTACTGAGCAGCCTCCCAAGTGGAGAATTGGTAGCTCAGGCTACCTGTTTTCACAATTGGCCAGTCTGAGTATACCACAGGACACGAACCTGCCTGAGCCATATCCATGCAGGAAAGAGATCAGATGTTTGCCCTGTGGGAGTGACTGACGTGTCATTGGCATCATCTGTAAGAGGTAGAATTAAAATTCCAGGCACGAAATTCCTCTTTGACCTCCTGTCTTCAAGCAGGTCAGTTAATGCAGGTTTCATGAAGCGATTTAGAATTGAATATAAAGAAATACAATCTAGAATTCATTATCCCTGAGTTCAGCAATCTAAGAATTAAGGATGTAGGCCAGGTTAGTAATTTAGAGTCTTGCAGTGGTCAACGGAGAGAGACAGCACCTCTGGAGAGTTTCATCTCATCCTAAAATAGGTTTTTGAAATAGATGGGATTAATCACCACTCAGCAGTGGCTATCATTTTTCTGTTTCTCATAGAAGAAACTTATGTGCTGTCTCAGACCATGCACCTAAGTTTTAGACAGTCTAGTTCAGGTGAAGTTAATTTCACTAGCAATGGCAGCCTCTAAACTACTGTGTGAGAAAGACCTACTGTCACCAGCCTGATGGCACAAAGACCAGGGCAGAGCAGAAGGACTCACAGCACAGAGTCATCCAAAGCTCAGTGTGTCATACTGACAACCAGCATCCCTGCTGCTTGGTCAAGTCTCAGACCCAAAATACGTGACGCTCATTAAGGAAGTCCTTCCCCCCTCAGAAAAGCTCAAAATGCGCATTCGTGTTGAGCTGCTGTGCCCAGGGTCTTGCCTCCACCCTGGCGTGGAGCAATGCTGGGCAGCGGGATGTGCCAAGAGCAGGGTGTCCCAGATGGGCAGTATGTCCTGGGTCTGGTGTACTCTGAGTTTGTCATGCAAAAAATTGGTGAATGCATGTAGACAGCAGACAGCACTGACTGCTTAGCATGGAAAGCCTGGTGGCAAAAACTACCCATTTCTGCAGGTGAGTAAAATGATAGAGCAAATGATGAATTACTGCAAACCCTGGCAATATATTACATCCACTCAAGTAATATCAACTTGTCAATACGAATATAAAATTAATCACTTTTGCCAACTTTTTTGTTCATGTTTTCTATGTCAGAAGTTTGCTCTCTAAACCCTAATGTAAAACATTTAAGCAAGTGTTGTAATAACAGCAATATAAATAATGACTTGTAAAAGAAATAAGGTTGGCAAAGGCTGCCAAGTTTGAGCATCGGACACCTTAAGTGCCTGATTATTTCAAGCTCAGTAACTTTTGACTCCTGTGTTTTAAGTTTTCTCTTTTTACCTAATATTATATACTGAAGTCAAAGTACTTGACTCTCCAGAGTGCCGACCTGAGTCACTAGGGTGACATGGAGGCATAATATGTACGAACATTGTGTTTTCCCTGTTTTCAGCTTTGTTTGCCTGAGCCTGGACGTGAGCTGGTGCTCTCGTTAGCGGTTGCGGTCTGTGTCAGATGGGTGACAGTTACATTCAGTTTGGGTGGGCTGGATGGCACGTCCCCTCATGTAGATGTGGGGAAGGGACAGAGTGGGACCACAAAAAGCTCTTGCTGAGGTGGCTCTGCTCCAGGGAAATCTCAGCCAGCCATAGCCAGCTGCCACCTGGCCCTGCTGAACGTTTCATAGAAGGTAGAAAGCAGAACACAGAAGAAAATCTGCTTTAGTATCAGACTAAAACTGGTTTCTTTCTTCTGAGCAATAGCAGCTGAAAGAGCAGACACGTGTTGGTGGGGACTTGGAGAGCTGCGATGGTCGACAGACCAACCCTGGCAGCTTACGCCTTCCCTACTGCTCAGCTCTCCTGCCCAGGAGCCTGGCAGTGTCCTGAGGGGGTTCCTCTGCACCCCATTCCTCTCTGCTTTTCTTACTGCAGCATCTACAACAAGTAGTAAGAATAATTATTCACGAAACACAACTGTTTTATTAAATCCAGTTTAAGACCAAAGCCTCCTTAGCGTGCACAGGACGGAGCCTGGTGATGGAGAAGACCCGAGTCACTGTGGTGTTTTTCATGTGGGTGACAAAAGTAGCTGCTGAAGCAGGAGCTGATGATCTCTAGTGAAGTGCCTGCCCTTGCTTCTGCCTTTGCAGGACTATGCTGAGAAGGAGAAAGCTGCAGCCAAGGCCCTGGAGGATGTGAAGGCCAACTTCTACTGTGAACTATGTGACAAGCAGTACCACAAACACCAGGAATTTGACAACCACATCAATTCTTACGACCACGCTCACAAGCAGGTAAACCTGCCAAATCCCCGTGCATGTTACAGCAGTCCATCTTCCTTCCTCATTGGTTGTGGGACGTTCCTAAATTTGTTCAAGTAGAAGACAATTCATCATTTGATGTCTTCGATTTTAACAGGCTGTTTTTCACTAAAATAAAATGTAAAATATTCAAAGTTTTAATCTACATCATGATATCTTTTAAGCCCCTCTGACTGAAAGATCTCCATCTATGACTTTAGATACGTGCTCAATAGCAATATTTGCACTGAATTTGTTATATTTAAATGTGGAATTACTTATAAACTACAGGAGGGGAAAGGGTCACTTCCTCAAATATCCAGGTTCCTTTTTTGGATGCAGAAAGCATGTTTCAAGCTCATCTTACTGTTTTAATGGCAGAAAGGAAGTTTGGGGTTTTTTTAAAAAAAACATGTTATTGAAATTGAGATCTATGTCATATAATATTTCTCAGTGTGGAATACATTTTGCTTTGGACATAGAACGTAGTATGAAATAACAGCTGCTTTTGGAAAAAAACATATTGGATTCCTGGGAAGATGCTAATTGTTTGTCATTGGTTTTATATCAATTTTATCAGGTCTATACCTGGAAGATATATTCTACCCATAAATGCCTATTATCCTTCTATCTTGCATCCTAGATTTTATTGAATTCTGGAAAAATCCGAATTTCAGTTGGCACTATGGAAGGAAAATGCAATTAATTCCTGTAAACAATTTAGAATTCAGAGAAAATGGTTTGCAAAGTTCAGGAATGAGCATTTCTGAACTTCTGATGTGACAGATCGTATCTAACATGTAAGAAGTTAGAACGTGTAACTGGGTTCCATAGGTGTGTCTTTTTCTCCTGTGTTTCTACTAGTGCTTACGTTACACAGTTCAAGTTCTCATGTATTGTGTGCATTCAGGTTACCAGGGTCTTCTGGATAATCCCATTGCTGGGTGCAGGGGGGTCAGGAGCCGCCTTACAAATATGTCAATCATTGCGAAGCTTCAGGCATTTCTGACAGAGGACTAAAAATAAATAAAGTTGAGTAAAACAAGCAGCACTAAAGGCAAAGCTCTTCACTCTCACTGCAAGCAATCTTATTGTCTTTTGCAGTGTTATAGAGCATGGAAATCAGACTGAATTTTCTGTGTGCATCTGGCACAGCATTGCATTAACAAACTTCCTGGTGTCTGCCCACCCCTCATGCTGAACCATCCTCCTGAATTCAAGCAGCTCAGAGTCAGCTACCCATGGGTATTAATGGGACTCTTTTGACTCATCATTCCCAAAACAGAGCTAGCTGCAGCTAATATATTTATGTATTAAATCAAAAGCAATTCCTCACATCACCATTCCATTAATTAATCCGTAAAAATGGTTATAATAATACAAACCAAATGATTTTCCAGATCCTAAACATGTGACTCTAATTCCTATAAATCCCCATTTTGCTGCACAAAGAATTTTTTTCACCCTTCAGCTGGGGTTTTTTTTATTGTCAGAAATGCATCTGAACTCAAATGGCTCCATTTGGGCCCTTCTCTCTTCGCACACTCCCCCTGCAAAGAGCAGCTTTTGCGAAATAAATCAGCCTGCTTGATACAGCATCTACAACTGGGTTGTGGGCAGGGGAGGTCTTGTCAGCTTTCAGTTATAAAAGGGAATGTTTAAGCAGTAAGACTCCCTTTAATTTTTAGGTAAATTTAGTGCTTTAAAAGCTGCAGACACAGTCCTGGTAACTAAGGGTTTGCATGGAAATGCACAACACACACAGAATATCAACTGGCAGCACAAGCTCATCCCATCCTGCTCTTTCAGATGCAGTTCAGAAGCTCAGTTAGCACAGGATTAGCCAGCGATCCTCCTGACATGACAGGCTAATTCCGTTTCTTCTCCTCTCTCACTTCTTGACTGCCCAGCCAAGTCTGGGAACAGCATTAGTTTGCCTCTAGGAATAGTGTGGATGCAGCCTGTTCTCTGATCTTTATAGTTGGTCACAGAAGAGCCTTTATTCTTACTTTTATCAGAGTAAACTTCAAAGAAAACAAGGTAATTTAGGGCTTCCTGTGGTTCTAGTTAGGTTAGTTTCAAAATGTTTGTTCAGGGAGGGATAGTCAACACCAGAAAAGCTTCTTTCTCCTAAGGTGTGTTTCTGTTTCCCAGCAGAAATTTGAGGGTACCTTTAGTCGTCCACACATATATGTTCTAAGAATCATCATTCTAATGGAGACCAAATTAAAATGAGGGACTCTTTACAGCTCAATAACAATACAGTGTAGTCCTTCCATGTGATTTCCCATCTAAATGATACTACTTAGTATTAACATGGCAATGCTGTTGAGAGAAGATATAGAGGCAGAGAAAAGACTACTTAGAAATTAGTATTAACATGGCAATACTGTTGAGAGAAGATATAGAGGCAGAGAAAAGGATATTGCATTATTTTTCATAAGCCATTTGTTTCTCTTCCAGAGGAAACAGATTTCATTCAAAAAATTATGACCTTAATGTCCAAATATTATGGTTTTATAAAATTAATTTCCTGATCCATTTTCTCATCTGTGATTTCAACCAGCTGTTAAAGCAGAAAGTACTGAGTCTTGGATCTAGCAGCTGATGTAAGAGGAGTTGCCTTCCCTGTCCTCAGAAGACTGCAAAATATTATGTCGACAATCTGAGCTTGTTTGCATAACTGGACTTTCTGCTAAGTTAGGTTATTCTAAAGCAGTATACTCAGACAGACTTTCTGTCTCTCTCTGCACACTACACATATTCATACTTATATATATAAAAATACTACATACATATATATACACACATATGCATACAAATATAACTTTGACAGAACATCAAAGAACTCTTGTGCCTATACCTTTGTTATCTTCTAACTCTATAATGACCTTGGAGAGGTCTAATCTGATTTATATATTTTTGAGTAATATTGCCTGAGTATTAAGCAGCTCTTATTTCTTTGGTTGTCTTGGCAGCATCAGTCCTAATTAATTCTGCCCACATCTTTCCTGCTGCATTGCCCTATAATAATTTTTCATTTCTATTACTTGTGATTGGAAATTAATTTCTTTGAGTGCGAGGTTGGATAAAGTGAACCCAGAAAAATCTGTTTGAGTGAAAGGCTGTGCTCCCACCCATCTCTACTCGAGCTCTCTGTTGTAGAGCCTGATACTTTAAAGCATGGGGCAGGACTGTGGGTGACTTTCCTGGGAGCACCTAATCGTTCAGCACCGTACAGCCCTGTGCATACGTGTCTCACTGCCCAGCATACACCAGCTAACCCACTTGAAACCAACAGCTTTTTTTCCTCTGTGTTTTTCCTCTGCTATGAAATCTATGATTTTATAGCGTGCTAGGCAGCAGTCACAGGCAGTAGCACACATGACAGTTCTGCAGCGTCTCTCATCAAGCATCAAGGTGAACGATGTTTGCTATCACTTGCTGTCCCTGTTCTCTGTAACAAAAGTTAACCACATCAGAACTGATTACCTTGGCCCTGTTGAACTATCTGAACGCTGAAAAGGGTAAGGATGCTGGTATGAAATCATTCAAAAGTGATTAGTATGTAGATAATCAATGCAGGCTGCTGCCTGAAAATAAAATCTGTGTGGATGTATGTTACCTGTTAAACTGAAAATAATATAGAAGTATAAATTTTTTAACAGGGCTCCTAAGTCACACACATCTATAAAAGGAAGACAAACTTGAGCAGAGATGTTTATGTGGTTAATGTTATTAAATGGAATCTTTTAATACCTCCAGGTCATGCATAGCATTCATCCACTCTTAATGTCAAAGTAGTTGGAGCTTTCAGTTTTTGTATAAATAATCCTTAGCAATCAGCAAGGCTTTTAGATGTCAGCAAAGGAGAAAATCACATATCTGTTCCATATACTGCAATATAATAATTGTGATGATAATAATAGTAATAGAAATAAGCAGCAAAGAAAAACAAGGCTGTATTGCCATCTTGGGGTTTCTGATGACAAAACAGGTCTTTTAGTTTTGTTGTAAAAATTTAGCCATACAGTTAAATACATAACATTCTTTCATATGAAAAATAAATATCTGAATTTTAGTGTTCTTGATGCAGGCAGTACTGTATAAGTAGGTAAACAAAATTTTCAGTCTACACTAGTTCACATGCACATACCTGCTTCTTAGAATTTAAATCCATGCATGTTAGCACTCGGTTATATTTTTTGTATGAAAGTCTGATTTAGTGTGTACAGCTGTGGGCACTTGCCATTAAGCCTTTACGGTGCTTGTGGATTTAAACTCTAATTCAGGCAGAGATTTAGCTCCTGTTAAACATCAAAGCTAGCAAATATGCTTACATTTTAGCTAGCATTGCCTCTATCACCTAGAAAATGTGCAGATAAATGAATACAGAGAAAGTTCCAGGAATGAGTGTGGTGCTGAGACTTTGTTCATTCATCTTTAGGGTGTTTTTTCCAGCATCTGCATATTTACTGGAGGAAAAGTAGGTCCTGCATGTTGACTCTAAGATATACCTCTCCTATTGCCCAGACAATTTTCATTTGGAGGAAAAAAAGAACTGGTTTGGCAATATCTGAGAGATTTCATTTTGGGAACTGGGTAATTAGGCAAACACAGCAACAATAAGAAACCTTCTTCTGGACAACGTATCATATATTTAGCTGTAAGGATACACTAGTCAAACAGACTGGGTTGCACTAGCATTACTACTTGTTTTTGTGTAGTCTCTGCTTTTTTTCCCCTCAATAAATAGGGGGACTCACCATCCCTCTTGTACTCCCACATGGACAAGGCTAATGTCCTTCCCTGTAGACCCTGCTTCTGCTTCTCTGCACCAGGACACTGGCCTTCAAGAACTGCCTACTTTTTTAGGGTCAAGTTGCGCACATGAGTCCTGTGCTCTCTATGTCCTCAGAAAATAACCTGAAAGGCAAATGACTTCAGCATTTCTTGCTCTCAGTCAGGGAGCGATGCTGTCTGCAGCCATCAGC